CCTTGGCGTGCCATATTCGTCGTTTCTTGGCCACATCTGCCCCAAAAGTATCCGTGATGATTCCTTCGTCATCATGGAAAGCTGCCTGCGCCTGTGCGGGATTGGAAGACTCGTCCTCGGACTCCGTTACCGGCTTCAACAACCGTAGTTCCTCGACGGTTGCGCCGAATTCGTACTCTCCTCGGCAGAGAACGGTGACGCCAACGGTGGCCGTAGTGCTTTCGCCGCTATGCAGGATGGGGAGGACTTGTTGGAGCATCCCGGTCCATGCCAGGCGTCGCGACAGATCTAATGCGATGTTGCTGGGTTGGTGGCGGAGGCTGGGCTGGAGGCGGAGTAGAGGGTGGACGGGCCGAGAGGAACGATTGAGGACGGTGACGGTGAGGTTGAGCATGTCGTCGGTTTGGACGTCGTATTTTGAGCGTCCTGTCTGTACCACGCTCTTTGTGTCACTGGGAAAAGCGGGCTCCAGAGAGTATGTCACGCCGACGTCTTCTAACCGGAAGAAGTCAACCATGCGCGCGTTCAAGCGAAGGTTGCGCAGGTCGACAATTCCTTCACGGACGCCTGCTTTCTCTTTCCAGAACCCGCAGACTCGCTGGAGAATCTCTTCCCGGTACCAGAATGCTTCGCGTGTCGCAGCCTCGGCTTCGAAGGTAAGCTTGTTGGCACTTACGACAAACTGCCGCTTGACACCGGTGTTAAGTATCGGGATAGACGCATGAGGATTGTCGAGATAGGCTCGAGGGAGGACAAGAACGAATCGTGACATCTGGCCTGGCTGGAGCTCCCCGTGAATAGTGTATTGGCCATCCCCATTCTGGGGCGGTTCTGGAGGCCATTTCATGTCGGATTCCACTGCTTTTTCGCCCACATGTAAGGTGACCGACAAGGCGTTAGGCCAAGCATTGCGAAGATCAAGAAGAATAATACAGTGATCAGGGCCGTATCCACCCCTAGCGAGGTGGGAAAGCACAGGTGAGAACGGATCACCATTCGCGGATGGCGGTAGCATATTGGTGCTGATTTGGTCAGGTTCTGCTTCCGCCTCAGGGTTGTTCCACCATGCAAAGTCGCTGCTGAGTGGCAGAATGTCACAGCGAGCGACCTCTATGCTGGCATTGACCGTGGCTGTCAATGGGACGAACAACTGGCGGGTATAGAACACATCAGGCAAGCCTTCCTGCGAGGATCCAATACACGAGTAGTCGATCTGCACGGTGGTGTCCTGTAGACCTGGTTTTCCGACAACATCGATGGTGAACGTGGCACTTTGGCCTGCTGGAATTGAGTGGTCCTCGGGATTTAAACCTTCTCGGCGCCACCGCAACGCTGGTCTGGTTAAGTTTAGCTCCAGCTCGTAGATTTCGACGGGCAGTAAGTCTTTATTGCTCAGGGCCGACTGCACTTGTCTTGTTGTCGAATCTTGGAAGGTGAAAAGGATGAAATCAAGAGGACAAGGCGATGTGTTCCGGAGTGTGATGTTGAATGAGCTCAACTCACCCTCCAGCACCATCAGCGCGGATTGGGACAGGGACAGGGACTCAATCACCAATGATGGTTGTTGGCCAATGACCTTGACCTCGCACACTGATGTGTCTGGGCCTTTCTTGGGAAGTTGTTTGCCATTTCTTGAGGTTGTTGAGCTCCACGATAGTGGGCGCTCAACAGAAGGCCTCTTGGCCGCAAGCCCAGTGCGTTTGAATTTCCATTCGGCTTCCGGCTTCCAAGGATTTTGGAATACCGGGAACCTGCGCTCTCTGCAGTGCCGGACTTTCACTATGCAGCCGGTAACCTTGAGTGCACCCTCTCCAGTAGCTTTGCCATAGACTGTGATGTCTTGCAAGCATAGCGGAGGAATTAGGATCCACTCTGCCACGGCTTCTAGAGGTACACCTTCGCTGTCGAGGGTGAGTTTTTCGATCTCCAAATCGAACTCATAAGGGTTCTGAAGTGTGACTTGGAATGCTGCGTATTCACCGGCAACCATTAATGATTCAGCAGCCTTATTACTTGCTTTGGAGAAAGGATTGTACAGAAAAGGGTCTTTTGTGGGCTTTTCGCGATCAGCTGTAACGGCATCCAAGTCAGGCTTTGAGCGGCGAACGGGTCGTCTGGGATCTGGAAGAGAAAGCAATTGAACGCCACGGATGAGAAAATCATCCCAGTACTCTGCCTCAAGCCCAGAAGCGCCCAATTTGTTGGCTGCGCCGACAGTCCGCTTAATATTATTCAGAAGTCGGATCTGTTCGTCGCGAGGTAGGTACGGTGGCTGGTAGTTAGATCCAAGCATCAAGTCTCCTCTGATGGTCTGCAGGAGTTCTACTGTGAAACGAAGGACGCCGGTAAAATCTGGGAGCGCTTCGCAAGAACTAATGCACGCTTTGAGAACATCAATTTTCAGGTTGAGATCACCGTAGCCATCCAGAACGGCGTGCCGAAAAGCCCGTTCGACAATAGCAGTGATCGAATCATAGTCGGGCAAGGCATCTTGCCCACTCGCAGTGGAAGATCGTCTCTTCTCCCATTCGTAGAACGAAGATGGCTGGACACCATAGATGTCACCTATAGTGGCAAGAAGCGAGCGCATGCTCTCCTCCATGTTCCCCGGCCCCAGATCAAGTGCATTGATATCAAAAGCCGTGTCACTGAGAGATGCCAAGCCAGCAGCAGGATGAACGCCCACTTCTGCTGCGCCAATCTTCCGGGCTTGGACAAGCGTTGGGACCATGATGGACAAAAGTTCTTTTAGGATAAAGGCTTTCTTCCGCGGTAAATCAAGCACGTTCAGAACGGAGACTACGCCAACAATAATAGGTATGGCGTCCGTGGCAGGCAAGTCTGAGCTAGGAGAAAGAGGCAGGGCGCGGAAAAGAAAATTACCAATGTCGGATTTCCGAAGTATGTTGAGACCACGGGGCCGTTCTGGCCGGTGCAAAGGTGGAAGGGACTCGTTCATGACTATATGCTTCAGAGCAACGTCGTCCAAGGCACCGTCGCGAATACGAGCTGCCGCTAACAATCTTGCCAAACGGATTACTGTTTCGGAGTAAACAAGTTGAGGCAGAGGTTCATCCGTAATGTTGGCGGCACGGTTATAGAGATTCAGGATATTGTTCGCCAGGTCAGGCAATAGGTTGGAAAGGTTCTGAAGCGAAATAATACGGTTTCCAGGAGAAGACAGACTCGTGTCAAGGCTACTGCTGTATGATAGCTTTGAGGACTTGTCGGCGACAGGGTAGCATACAGGAGGGATCTGCCACCAGTTAGTCATATCATACCGACCTTGAGCATCAGGTGATGCGTACCTGAAAGTCCATTCCAGCCCAAGCGACCATCAATAGACAAAGAAGGATGGACTCGAGTGCTTTCGCATGCCACACGTAGTCACTGCTTGCTCTAGCACTAGACGCAGCTTCAACCAGCTCTTTCAAAGCATCTGGCCATCTTCCGGCGAGAAGGAACAGGTTCCCAACAACAACACCTGAGCGTCCCTTGATCCGGTTCTTGGTCCGATCAGTTGCGCTCATACCGCTCACAGACAGACGGTCCCGGCTATGCTCCTTGGACGATGGCAGCGAATGTATTTTGCCCAGTGAGTTGGATCGGTTGGCCAATTGTATCGATCGGGTGATCTCATCGAAAGTTGTAGGAGTCTCATGGTCGCTAGGCGCAGGCGATCCTTGTTTGGAGCTCAAGGGAGATTCAGGTGCGCCATTGGGGTTGGATGGGAGATGTGTAGGCAGGGTCATCCGGTGAAAGAGCCTGTCTGTCGGCCGCGGGCGAATGTCAGGGCCGCGATGGGGCCCCCAGGATGACGCCTTCGGTGACTCGATGGAAGGTATGCTTTGAATAGTCTTCGCGAACTCGTCTAGCTCCGAAAGCAGGAGAGACGTAATATCACACAGGACTGTCTTCATTGTAGTGGCCTTCGACGCCTGAGGTCGTGGGATCCAGGAAACGTCCCCAGGGCCATTCGTGAGCTTATTCACCCCTTCATAGTCGAATATAAGGAGCTGATGTACTAGTGCTCTCGGATTGCTCTCCTTGAGTGTTTCGAGTTCCTGTCGAAGTTGCTCCAGCTCGCCCGGAGTGGGCGGCTGATCTGCCGCAGATGCCGTCTCACTCTTCTTCACATTCTCGCCAAGTTCTGCACCGTCTGCGATTGCGATGATGACCAGGGGTTCTCGGTATATCTCGAAAGGGAAGAGGTCTAGGTGAGATGTTGGGGGCACGGAGTAGGACAAGTCGTAAAGTATCATGCCGGTAGGGAAGGCGAGCGGGGAGAACATGTCTATGTCGAGAATCAGTCAACCACTGTACCCATTATGTCGATGACAAGTCTATCCTGCTGCAGAAATGGAATACTGAGTGCTAGCATACTTCGATTGGGCCGCGCATCAGGACTGATATCACTCAAGCGGACAACATTTTCGGCTTGAAGCCTTGCGGCGAAGCTCAAGAACCTCGAGCGCTTTATCTTGCCAATGGGTAGCAGCAACGCCCGTAAGCGCACGGGCGCAATAGGGGAGAGAGGGTCGACACCCATCGTATCATCTGCGACCGAATGGAGGGGGAGCAGTCGGCGAGTTGCTCAGGACTGCTTCCAAAAGGGCGGGCAAGCTTCCGGAAGTCATACGAAGCGCTAGCACAACCAACAGACGGAGTAGACGCGGGCGAATGAGCAATGCAACGATTCCGCTCGCGATTTCGTTCAAGTCCGCTAAACAGAGCCGTGACCTCTGGTCACCTGGGCCACGCAGAAAGAATCAACTCCCACAAGAAGATCTAGAAACGAAAAATGACAGAAAGTAGCAGCGCGGAGTGGATAGATCGCGGCATCGGGCGTGCCTGTCGACCGCCGTAACCCCAAAGTAAACCCAAGGAAACCCCCCGATGTCACGGGGGGGCCCTGATGACATAAGCGTTGCATATCTGATAAGCCCGATAACTTTAACTCCGCGCTGTCTCCGGCCAGTCACTTACCATCGCCTCTGCCACCGTTATTCTCTTGCACTTTCTCTCGGCCTCTTCTCTCGAGTATTCGCGGTCTTTATCTCCCTAAGCCAGCCTACCTTTCCTGCGCTCTTTTATATTACTGCATGCTTGATCTTTTGGTCTTTTGGTTTGTGAGCGATAAAATCTATCTATAGACCACACTCTGTTGTCTAGGTTACAGTGTTATCGAACACCGCCGCCCGTTGACCGACCGCATCCTCGAAAGACCCATGTCTTAGATTTCACAACTGCTAGTTTGCTTGTCACGGAGTATTTGGGGAGCGAGGGTTCAGAAGAATTTCCTCAACTATAATCATGGCACAGAAGATCGATTTTAACGCCCTCAGGGCGCGTACTATGGGATCAGGGAACGATGAGGAAGCGGTCACAGTTGACACACGGGGTCTGATTTCCAAAGTCCTTGCGCGCTACTCTGGGAAATGGTACGTCTGTATCCGGGGCATCTGATACTATAGCGGCGTTTACTAAAGCGGGATACATAGGACCGTTTTACGAGAGATGATACAGAATGCAGCTGATGCTAACGCCACGAAAGTAACGATCAAGTTCGAAACGCTACCGTCTACGACTGTCCCGCTGCCTCCAGCTGCCGACGAGAGCACTTTAATCAAGCACACTATATCTAATCATACTCTCAAGCGTCTTCTGATATCGAACAATGGCCTACCCTTTAGTGAGAAGGATTGGGCAAGGCTAAAGCGCATTGCTGATGGCAACCCGGATGAGACCAAAATCGGCGCATTTGGAGTCGGCTTCTACAGTGTATTCGATGACTGCGAAGAGCCCTTCGTATCATCTGGGAAGGAGGCCATGGCTTTCTATTGGAAAGGGAACGCTCTCTTTACTCGTCGGTTACAGCTGGATGAAGACGCCAATCCCGAGACTACATTCGTTCTAGATTACCGCAATGATACGTCACCGATCCCCTCACTGATGCAGTTATGTCAGTTTCTGTCCAGCAGCCTTACGTTCGTAAGTCTGGAGGGTATAGAACTATGGTTGGACGACTGGAATCTCTTGCGACTCACGAAGAAGACTGCCCCAAGCGTCAATCTAAGCATTCCGAGGGATATTGAAACTAAAACGCCGCAAGGCCTGATGAAAATTCAGAATGTCACTCGAGAGGTTGCTCAGGTTGATGCTTCGTGGATGCGTGTCATCGAGTGGAACCCTAATGCCAGCATCTTTCGGGAGGGACTCAGAGATACCACGGGTTCTTTGCGTACCTTCTTCTCCAAGCTCACAGGCCAGAGTGCCCCCGAAAAGCCAGCGAGACCCGAACTACAGGATAAATCCACTGACTCTGGAGAGATGACCAAGACCTTAACCGCCTCGGTCTTCCTGCATATTAACACCGCCAGCCTCCAAGCTTCCGTCAGTCAGTCTTTAAGTAGCGAACTTGAACGAGCTACGCGAAAACCTCCCCCTAAGCGATCCACCATCGCCATTCTGACCCCCTCATATGATACTACCTTAGCCTCTGGTGCTTCTGGCCTACAGTCAGAGGTCCTCTCCTCCATTCTACCTTCTAAGGGTGGCAGGGTCTTCATAGGTTTTCCAACCCATCAAACAACGGGTCTCAATGCCCATATCTCTGCTCCTTCCGTCATTCCTACAGTGGAGCGCGAAAGTATTGATCTCAATACTCGCTACATTAGCAAGTGGAATTTGGAGATGTTGAGGGCCGCCGGAATTGTTTGCCGGATCGCCTGGACAGCCGAAATGGCGTCCATCAAAGCTAGGATATCCTCTGGGAAGGAGTCCTCGAAATCCATGAAGGTACGGAAGGATGATATAGCAGGTGTTCTTCCGGAAGCCATCCACACTGCAAAGCAGTTCGTATTCCGTGAATCAACGCCATCATCACTTCTTGGGCAAACCATCGAAGACGCATTCTGGACGTGTAACAAAAGTGCATCCATTGAGGTTCTTTCAACATGCGGTGTTATCCAGAGCCATCAGGTACGCCTTGCCCCGAAGGATCTCAGCTTCATGGATTCGATACCAGTCCTGCCTGATGAGTTCTATTCGGGTGCGAGGGAGTTCGTCAAGAAATTGACGGATTTCGGTTTGGTTACCGATATTACGGTCTCCGACATCAAACAGGAACTTGAAACCACCACACTACGGTCCAGCCAGGCTGCTGAATTCCTTCCTTGGTTAGGTCAAAGGGCTGCCTCGGGCCAGCTTGATCTATACTCCATTCAAAGCTTGCTGAGTGTAGCAGTGGCAAATGAAGAGGACGAGAGCAGCCCCCAGAATAGATTGATTGTTTTCGGAAGCATCGACAGTTATCTAAGCCCTCAGAAGATACCCGTCAATTTGCCTGTTCCCCCCACTGTGGCGCCTTTCAAATTCACTAAGTCTCTAGGGAAGCAGGAGTTGGAGGCTTTAGGCTGGACGGAGCTTCAGATAGTTCCGTGGGTGCGTTGGCTAGTCTGCAATTCTGCTAACCGAAATATCCTGCCCTTGGATCAGGATATCACAAAGAGTCCCTCGTTCTCTGCTCAGGTCTTGCCGGTTCTTTCGAAGCAATGGGAGTATCTAAGCCAGACAGCGAAACAATCAGTGATCACTCAGTTACGAGCACATACTGTGATACCGACTAAACTAGGGATGAAGATGCCTCCTGAGACCTATTTCTCTTCCGTCCGCTTGTTTGATGACCTTCCCGTCATACATGGCCTAAATGGAGTTAAAGAGAAATTTTTGGCAGCGCTTGGCGTTCGTAAGACTGTCGAACTCGGTGTCATCTTCGAGCGTCTTCTCGATACCACGGAAGCACCCGATGGTCCTAACGATAACCAGAGGAAATGGAGTCACGTCGACTTGATACGATATCTAGCTTCCGTGCGCGATGACATACCTGCGAATGATATCAAACGACTCAAAAACACCAGCTTATGCACTGCCGAACAGAGTGACGGCAGTGGAAATGGTGATCTTAAAGCAGCGAATCGCAAGCGCTATAAGATATTTGAGTTGTTCGAACCGAAGGACTCGCTCAGGGCTCTGGGTTTGCCTATCATTGAATGGCCAGGTCGGTATCAGCCCAGTAGCAACGAAGGAAGGTTTCTGTCAATGTTGGGACTCAGGAGTTTCCCGTCAGCGTCTGAGCTTATCCAAATCATGGCTAAGGCAGCCGCGGATGGTAATTGGGTTCTCCATACAAAAGCGATGTCATACTACATCGCCGAGTTTCATACAAGTGGCTATGCTATGTTCGACTGCGGTACAGTGGCTGTTCCGTTCTTGCCCGTCGAAGGATCGCAGGGTTTGACTGTTCCGGGTAAGTGCTTCACTGATGATGGTGCCACCTTGTTTGGGTTCGCAATCCTTCGCACGGATCTGCATCCTCATGCTTCCAAGTTTGGGGTTAAACAACATCCCGCACTGAGCGAATGCATCGATTGCCTCATGCGTCAGCCACCGTCCACGAAGCGTGACGCAAGGGTCGTATTCAAGTATCTAGCCGGGCGGGTGTCAGAACTGAGTGGGCGGGATATAGATCGTGTTGGCAGTGCGCAGGTTGTCCCCGTCTCGACTACGCAGGATGAGATGGAAAAGAAAGTCGTGCGTCGCGTAGCACCCAGACTTTGTTATCTTGGAGACGGTGAGGATTACAAAGACATTTTTGATTTCGTCGACTTTGGTCAAGAGGCGAACCTTTTCCTCATGGCCGTCGGATCCAAACGTGAGCCCACTAAGGTGGAGATTGCACGCATGCTTGTAAAAGAACCAGCAAGGATATCAGCCTCTTTCCAAAGTGCTGACAAATATCTTAAACTGCTGAGGACACTTGCCGAGCATGTCTCAACCTTGAAGAAGGACCGCGAACTGTTCCAGGAAATGAAGAGGTCGGCCTTCCTGCTCGCAAGCAGGGATATCACTTCCCTGGCACAGGAGCAAGCTGCCAAGGATGATCACCTGTCTGACGATGAGGAAGATCAAAGCATTAAGGAATGGACTTTGACTGTTGCGAAGGACGCAGTCGTGGTGGATGATTTCCAGAGCTTCAATCTTTTCAAGGAGCATATACTCGCAGCGCCTCAGGAAGAAATGCTAGAGAACTTCTATCAGTCTCTGGGGGCTCAACCGCTGAGCGGCCTTGTCGAAGAGCGTGCTCACTGGGGCGCTGTAGCTGCCGACCAACGTCCAGCCGCCAAGTTGCAAAAGCTGATCAGTGAACGCTCGCGGCTGTTCTTACATGACCAGTCTCCTGATCTGATCCGGCATGATGTGCGGTGGCTAGAGAAGCATTTGCAAGTGCAGGTGGTGCATTCCATCTCCTTAACTCGCTCTCTCAAGGGTCGTCGGATATCCCACACGCAAAAGCGAAGCGCAATCATCACTCAACAGGGAAGAGACTGGCTCTTGTGGATCTGCCCGGGCAAGTATGATCTTTACGAGATTAGCCAGGCTCTGGTCCACCTAATCCTTGTTCGGCCGAAGCTCCATTCAACCCTTACCTTGGAGATGTTGCTAAAGACTGATCTGCTGGAACTCAAGGCTCGCGGGTACAACGTGGAGCGTATCCTTAAACACAAGGCACACGAAGCCAGGATGGCAGAGGACAGGCGGCAGAAGCAGTTGGAAGAAGAGCGTCAACGTCTGCAAGAGAGAGAAGCTGCGTGGGCCAAGGAACAAGCTCAGATACAAGCACAACCTCATCAAGTTCAAGACGAGCGGGAGCAGTTAATGCCGGGAGACTTCCCTGACTCGCCGTCGGGCAAGAACAGCACCCGTGACATCCAGCCGGACACACCTGACCAAACCCAAGATCGCCGACCACGCGGGTTCTTCGCCAACCTCTCCAGGCGATTTGGGCTCGAGGGCAATCGATCGCCCTTCAATGCTGTCAACGGAGAGTCATCTCAGCCCTCCCGTTCTGAATCCTCAGAGACTGCCACCCCTCCCCCGCCTTACTCTGCTGAAGATCCTCAGAAGACTCGCTCGGAAGCTCCTGTCACTGTCAATTCACCCCATCGACTTCAGTCGGAGCTGCTCTCCGCCATCCAGGCGTGTCGGCCCCATGGATCTTCTGATGTTTATAGCCGGCCTGAGACGAACCAGATCACCGAGAAGAAGTCCTACTGTGACGAAAAGCCCAGTCATGATCTAGAGTTTGTCGCGACACTTGCCTGTGGGATTCACGTATTGTTTGTGAAGAACCTCCCGGATCGCAGTCAATTCTTAGCCAAGAATAGCGTCGGCATTAATGTCTTTGCTTCGATGTTAATGGATTGTGCTGGGGTATTCTCGCTCCGGTCAGACATCCTCAGTATCTTCTATGATCCTGGGGGCAAAACGATCGCCTTTAACCGGGCGGGCAGTGTATTCTGCAATTACTTCTACTTCCAACAGCTTCACGAGAAGCAACTGCTTGCAAACCCGACTGCCGACCGAGCGGATGCACTTGTATACTGGTGGGTGATCCTATGCCACGAACTGGCCCATAACCTGGTGGGAGACCATAGCTCTGCCCACAGTTACTATACGTAAGTTTGCTCCCGCAATAGCCTTGTTTCTTTTAGTTGCTCTTGTTAACATGGCTTACAATGTTTCTAGCGAAAGCTTTGTTGCGCAATATTTCCCCAAGATAACAGCCAAGCTCGCGAGCGCAGGTAGAGCTGCTCCAGAACCGAGTGGCTAGTCCAGCAACGTGTTCGGATTTGGATAGGATTTATTGTAAATCAATCTAATTACAGACGGCCAGGCGCCGACATGTACAAATCACGAGACAGCTAGTCGCTCTAATCTTTCATCAAATTCCTCTCAGTGTGTACTCTGTAGTGTCCCAACCGTTTCATTCAGGCTATAGCCAGTGATGCAAACCGGACAAACACCGGCATTACCTCCGCGGAGAGATGCGCGGGCCTTCGATCTTCTTGATTTCTCCAGAGCTCCTAATTCAGCTGCGTCGTCTCTAGTGTAGCAATCTCTGACGAATTTCAAAGCGAGAAACACTTTTCGGACGGCGATCTCATGGCGGGCACACCCGATGCCACCATGGAGGAAATCCTCTGGCGGTCTCCGCCCCACGTCCAGATGATGGGAGGATACCTCCACTCCAACAACAGTACGATATTCAGCTCCCATCAACGACAAAAGTGGCCTACTAATACTCTTAATGCGTGCGCAGTTCTTTACTACTTTGCAGAGTCGCCATTCTTTGACCCAACATCCAACAACGCCTCACTTGCCATCCAAGCAAACTACAATGAAGCTTTCCGGCACTTTGTCGAGACGCGCGAGGCCTTCGAGGGCCGGTTAAAGACTATGCAGGGCTTGGAATTCGTGGTTTCATATGATCCCATCCAGGCAGCAGCACAACCTGATGGTCGATTCGCGCATGAGCCGTCAAACATTTGGGTGATTCGCAAGCAGAACCGGCGCAAGAGGACCGGCCTGGAAGATGAGGTGGTAGTTTTATCGACGTACTTTATCGTCGGAGATTGCATCTACATGGCCCCCTCGGTTGCGAGTGTTGTGGGGAACCGCATCGTACGTCAATTTTTTCCTGTGACTGTGCTTCCTAGACATTCTCTCGTGCTGATGCTAACTCCGACTTCTTGCGCAGCTGTCCGCAGTTACGTCTCTCACCAGCTTGCTAAAGACAGCATCTACACTACCTACCTTCACCCCGTCCCACGGCCATACCTATATGCCGCCTGCGCTCAAACAAGCCGACGCAAGTCAACCTGGCACGCAGTCGCAGCAGAGCAAGGAGAACACCCCATTACCGGACGCCGATGCAGCTGGCAAGGCCTCGCTCGTTGGCTCTTCACAAGTGGTCGGCACTGGTTCCAACGTGCAAGACACACGGACACTTGCGGAGTCATTCAACCTGCTCCGAAGATATGGGGAGGAGTTTATGGACGAGCATCCGTTGGTGGGAGAGCCGGGATCGTTCATCCTATCCCGTGTCAATGACACAGACCGAACCTCAGCAGCGAAACCACCAGCCCCTGCCGCGAAGGTTGGAACGCCGCAGGTCCGGGTTGATACGCCAGGGAAGGTATCAGAGAAGGGGGCGACGCCATCAGGATCCGAAGAGAATAAGATGCGGAAGAAGAAAACTAAGGTTGGCAATTGAAGTGGAAGGACAGAATAATGATACCCTAATGATCATGAGAGCAGGATTCTCTCATCCCGATTCCAATCTAGACATGGATAGCTAGATCTCTTAACCAATCTACAAGTGCAGCTGGTTATTGCCATCAGCTCCTTCCTTTTTTTTTTTCAGCTTATTTCTATAGACCTTTCCTGTAACCAAGCAAGGACAGCAAAGCAACCCCGCACGGCCACCCAATCCAATCCCAGTGCCAGTCAAGTATCTCTGACTCATATCACATCCTCATTGCCAACCTTCCTTCCACTCGCATGCTACCAAAATCCAGCTGAGAGTTCCATCCCCATCATGACTACTACCGCCACTTTATTCCCCAATGTTTTGTGCAGTCTGTCCGCATTCGGATCCAGAACCGCAGCTTCAAGAAATCGGTTACATCACTGCACCGACATCTTAAACCGTTGAGCTCGGGGCAAAACCCCCAATGAACTTCTCCTCTTCATTCTGAAAAAGCGACAAGAGCGAGTTTGTGTCTTCCTCATCAGTAGCAAGTAATCTTAACAGGTTCAACGGCATCATGAGCTCCGTGGATGGGACTAAGCCCGCAGTGGTCTGCGTATTGTAAGTCATCAACATATCATATCATATTATATAGTAGTAGTATCTCACCCCCATCACCCCGCATTCATACTTATACTTAAAATCCACACCATCACCACCACCACACACCAACATATTGATCTATCAAAACTAACCAACCCATTACAGCTGCGGCTCCGTCTCCGGCACCAACCCACGCCACATGGAAGCCGCACGCCAACTCGCGCACGAATTCCACAAGAACAACATCCACCTGGTGTACGGCGGCGGCACAGCAGGTCTAATGGGCACGATAGCCCGCGAGCTGGTCAAACTCTCCGGCCCGCAAGCCGTGCACGGCGTGATCCCGCGCGCATTAGTAAAGGTAGAACCGGGGTACGACAATGCAACGGAGCATCCCGCAGACACAGATTCAAATGCAGGAGTCCAGCAAGCGCGGTCCGGCAAGGACGCGGAAAGAATCATCCCAGCCGCTAGTACTACTACTACTACTACTACTACCACTACCAATGGCACTACTGCGAAGACAAAGGAGTCTATGTTCAAGGAATCCGAGTACGGGACGACCACGATCGTGGCGGATATGCATGCGCGAAAGCGGCTTATGGCGACGAAGGTGCAGGAGGGAGGGCCTGGGAGTGGGTTTGTGGCGTTGGCGGGGGGGTTCGGGACGATTGAGGAGGTGATGGAGATGACGACGTGGAATCAGTTGGGGATTCATGGGGCTGGGGTGGTGGTGGTAAATGTGGATGGGTATTGGGATGGGGTATTGGCGTGGGTGAGGAAGGCCGTGCAGGAGGGGTATATTGGGGAGGAGAATGGGAGGATTCTCGTCGAGGTGAATGATGTTAAGGATGTTTGGCCAAGGTTGAAGGGGTATAGGGTTAGTAATGGGAGGATGAGGTTGAATTGGGGGGAGGAATAGTAGTTAGTAGCAAGGTTAGTTGTAGATGTGGTCGAGCCGAGTTAGTTTATATATATAGATGGTATCAGGTGTGGGAAACGTGATATATTATTCCGGGATCGTGACTATCAAATCAATGATGTATCTGTTACATCTTGCTGCTCCTATGAATCAACCTCCATTGTCTCCTCTTCTTTCGTCTCGCCCGCATCCGCCTGCTCCAGTGCCTCCAGCAGGGGCACCAGCTGCTGCCCCTCGTACAGCTTGAAGCTCTCGATCTTCCCCGAGGCACCATCGCCCGCAAGTCCCACCACACCCACAGATGTGTTGTCCACCGTCAGCTCCTTGTCCTGAGACAGGGATTCCTTAAGTGCCCGCAGGCCGTGCGTGATGAGCTCATCGCGCGACGTGGACTCCAGCTTGTCCAGGTTCCGCTCCAGGTAGGTCCGAGCCATTTGGGAGCGGGCTCCGATGGCGCATGCCACCATCTCGTGGGTCATACCGGAGGGTTGGAATTCGAAGAGGTGCGGGCCGGAGTCGTCGACACCGGCGACAAGCAGACCGACACCGTAGGGGCGCTTGCCGTAATGTTGAGTGTTCGTTTGGGCGCGGTCGCCGATCTGACTGACAATGCGGTCGACGGGGAGCGGGCGGCCGTAGGTCATGCGGGAGCTGAGAGACTGCTGCTTCATGAAGTTGGAGAGCACCCGAGCGTCCGATGCCAGACCGGCGATGGCGATGCCCATGTGGGAGTCGACTTCGATGATCTTCTTCTGGTACGAGGAGAGCTCTTCGGCATTACGCTGGAGATTTCCCTGTCAGCTGGATGTGCCCCGAGAGAAAAGAGCCAGGAGATAAGTGGGATTTCCAACCTTGAGGCCGACCAGCACAGCATGTGTCTTGTTGACGAGTCCCACCACGACGGAACCTTGTTTCACGGCTTCTTGTGCATATTCGACTTGGAAGATCCGGCCTTGCGGGGAGCTGTAAAGAGCTCCGTTAGTAATCTTAGAACGCTAGGGAAGACAAAGCTTTGTTCTGGTGGATGAGGGAGCTTGGGGAGGTTCATACAAGGTGACCGCATCGTTGTCGTAGTTGTTTCTGAACATGGCGGAAGCTTGGGTAGGAGAGACTCGGAAGGGGGATGAATAGGGGTCTCTGTCAGTTCAATGGAAGAGACCAGGAAGGATTTTGAGTCTCAACGGGGGAAATAGAGGAATCAAGGCGATGAAGTAGGGAGCAGGAGTGGATGGGAGAGAGATATGGAGCTGGAGGGCAGGCAGAGAAGCACTGACGCGGTAGTACTGAGAGTAACTCATGCTTAAGGCTAAGCTCTCACTGCTTGGCTGTCCCGCTGCCTCAGGCCGCCCGCCCCATCATCCACTTCCGCTGCACGTCACTGCCTTCCATCCTTCATTCCATTCCAATCTCCTGCTTTATCCAGGCTCTGGCCGTCCTCGGTTTGTGGTGCATCTCTCGTCGCCATTCCGTCTTAATACCCATGCTATTTTGACTCTGCTATCTTTCCCACAAGCTTTACCAGTCAAGCTTCGTTGGTGCGAAGCTCCTCTCACTTCTGCCTGTTGTCCTGGACCTGAACAGTCCTACTCCGCAATCATGACCGCCGGACTCAAGACGATCATCGCCCTCTCCTTTGTATGTCTTCTTGGGAGCTAGAATGAAGCTTCTTTACTTCTGCTACTTTGGACTCTTACTAATTGTTATCCCGGTATAGGTTCTCGCCATTGGCTTCCTGCTTGTTATCCTGTCATCGGCGCTCTGGCACAACTTCCTCCCACTGGTCGTCGTTGCGACTTACGTGGTTGCTCCCCTGCCCAACTGGATCTGCTCGCGATGCGCAAACCCCGATGACTTTATGGATAGCTCTGGCAATGCTGCTGCTGATTTTGGTCGTTTCCTGACGGGCTTCCTGGTGCTGATGGGTATTGGTGAGTGGATTTCTCGGATAGGCGGGCTAGGTCGGCAGTCGCATTTATCCCTACCATTGAAAGCGACTGCAGACTGTGCTGCGACTGGAGATATATGCCATTGTTTCTTCCTGACTCTCTCGATCCACTGCTGACCATAATCGCTTCACTAGCCCTCCCCGCCGTTCTTGCGCACAGCGGCGCTATCGAGATCCCCGCCATGATCATGTCCATCATTGGCGGTCTGTTGATCTACGGAACCATCATCAGTTTCTCCATGTTCTTCAGGGAACAGGAAGACTTTTAAATTGCCATGCGCACCGATATCTGCAAGACCAGATTTCGCATTGGATACCCGCTCGCAGATTGTTGATCGACCTTTTGAAGCAAGCCGCCTTCCATGTTCTTGACCAATGCACCTTTATGAGACATCCGTTTTGATTTGACGTATGCTAGGCGTACTGATGTGCTTTTTGATGCCCCGGGAGTCGCTGTTGATTTTACTCTCGTTGTTCAATGATACGATTGATGTACTATAGCCAGTACGAGGTTATATAGAAACTCTGCCAGTGCAGTGTGATACATTCCTTTATCCAGATGCATAAACCCATACCTCCATCTCCCTCACTTTATCTTTGGAGATGCCGATGTCTTCCGCTCTGTAATTGTGCCTAGATACCGGTCACGTGGGGGCGCGCCGCCTTGGGCGCGTCGTGTAAAATTACCCGCGCCGACTGGCGAGTGAACATCCAACAATGATCTGATAACATCATCACAAGTACGAGTAATATGTGAACGAGTGATCCCTCGTCCTTCTAATATGAATGTATGGTCCGGCACAATATCGCTGGATGGAGGCACACAACTCCAAGGTGAGCCCCGCAAACCACCTGGCTACATTCGCCCTATTCATCACCAAAGCTAGGCCTACAACTAATTGACCGGTCGTCAAACTGGCAATCCGACATTGGCAGAGACTCCGCGCTCAGTCTTCGCTGTTTCGTTAACCCGTCCCTCATACCACTCTATGCGCGATGTGGTCCCAACCTCGAACTCCACACGAATAGTCCGCAGACCTCGCAATGGCTGAAGGACAAGCTGACGGGCACTATCTGGTTGGAAGATGATGATTTGGATCGGATCCAGACCCTACAATGCCCAATTGGGCTGCTCGTGGGGATCGACATTGATGGGCGGACAAAGCCCTCTGAAACCAACACGACTGATCTCTTGATACATGGGATGTTGTCCATGACGACTTCCTATGAACGACCGCCCACCCCGCCTGTCTCTTCACCGGAGCTAGACCACCAGCCATCCCATGTTGTTAGACAAGAACTAAGAATATACGCCACTCCGATCTCTGCACATCTCATTGCCAAAACTCAGTCTCTCCCATCTCCACAAGATACAGATGGCCACGGCCGATCCCCTCAGTTCCTTCCGGACATTCGCTCGCCCAGCCCCAAGCGCAGACGTGTAGCAACGCTCTTTGAATCAGTAGCGCAGCATCATAAAAGGGTACGGCAGAAGGGAGGTGAGGCTGTATCGCAATTAATGGCGCGATCACTTTCCCAGTCGTCCCAGCAATTGCAAGGTCTTCGGGTCAAACGAGAGTCAGAGGAGCCTTCTCTTCCTCAGTTGGACCGGATCGCCTCACAACGGTCCCGGTCTGTATCTATCGGTGCGAATCTCAACTCCAAACTTCTGGAAGCTCGGTCGGAGCAGTCACGGCCTAGCAGCAGACGGGGCTACGTGCGCGAACTGAACTCACGGCGAGGCACGCCAAACCCCTTTGTGGAGTCGTCATTACGAAAGGAAAGAGAACTGTCCCCGGAAATACCATCTGAAGGGAAACTTGAGTCTCCAGCTGCGCCTAAGGATGCAGAAACCATCATTTCCGAGAACAAAAACACGATAACACGGACGATCCTGACCTGCATGCGGCTTTATGGCTTCAACCGTGCTACAGCGCGCTCCGCGAGCTCGAACAGGCCGCAAACCGGGACCGGTAGCCACGATATGGCCCCTGCAAATGGGGAGGATATTTCCAACACCGATGAAGATGAATTCAAGGCTATGTACCATGCGACCTATCGCGCATCAACCTTTGCACTTCGGAAGTATCTGAAAGAGCCGTCTCCAGGCGAAGACGGCTCGCCGAATAAGCCACCACTCTTGGAGAAGGGGAAGGCAATGACGTACATTGATGAGTTTTTGAAACTGTTTTGTGAGGAGAATTGAGTCTGTCTGGCACAGATAACGAGTGATGAGTTACGAAGTATATAGCATAGCGATATTGTATGAAGCCAAATTATCAATGTTTTACCTAAGGTGTATACCGTCTCGTCGCAGCATGGTATACATGCCACGATTAAGGGAATAACATACCATACTATTTTATGTAAATTTAAAATCAAACATGTAGAATATACAACCAAAAGTACAGCATGGCAGATTCCCTCTGACATTGAGTTGTAGATAGTAGATAGCATAGATCGGGCAGGTGATTTTCCGGCCCCGGCACTGCATCATCGCCGGCTTCCCCGAACAGCTCCAACCAACCCGCCGATCCAGCCATACAGTGATACCATCTTCAGTGCTGGCACACACTCCATCTCCCGGAATCACATCTCACACATACTCATAATATATCCGCATTACAATGGACGTCTCCAACAACCGTCTTTTCCGCTGGTCTAAGCCAGAATGGCTTAACAACTCCGCCGTGCGCAACGCAGGCGTCTACACCTCCGGCGCACTGGTAAGCAAGCTCCCATCGTCACCACCACCATCAAGCAACACCACCCACTCACATTGCAGTAGTTCTCCCTGGGTTTCTTCTTCCTCATCGACGCCGCCGCTTTCTCCCACAGCGCCCGCAACGGCTCCTTCGTGCACGTCAAGTTCGTCGACTGGATTCCCGGTATCTGCTCCGCGCTCGGAATGCTCGTTATCAATTCGATTGAGAAGTCGCGTCTTCATGCCGATAGCTTCAGTTATAGTGGAAGTGGGGTTGCGTGGAAGGCGAGGTTTGTGCTGTTCTTGGGATTTGCGTTGCTCGCGGGTGGTCTGGCAGGCAGTGTGGTTAGTATTTACCTGCATACCTACTCTACCTTGTTGCTCTGATATATGTTGTTTGGGGTATTGGGGTCGCTGGAGTGGAGTGGATTGAAGTGGCCAGGCTAACTGATGGGAATATAGACGGTCATGGTACTTAAGTACCTGATCCAGGGATATCCCCTTCCGACACTTTACTTTGGTATTGCGAACGTTATTGCGAATGGACTGGTTATGATGAGGTGTGTATATTGCCATATTTTTGTTTTTGGCAGTGCAGAAACGGATTTGCTAATGAACTCTGCGATTGCAGCACCATCGTCCTATGGATCTCCCAAAATATAGAAGACGATTACACCTACAACCTTGCTCTGTGATGGTTGAATATACCATTTGAGATGAGAAGGCCTATGGTTATCAGGTGTTCAGTCGTGGTACCTGTTCTTCTGTCGACTGATTGATTGATTGGCTGGTATGCGACGAAAGCAATACTTACTGCTACTCTGCGACGTATTATTGTATTATGAATGTGCGCTTCATTTTTTGTGGTCGGTCTTTACTATTACTTCTCATTCCTTGATGGAATCATGGAGTTCAGTTACTCTTTATGAGGGTTGTCGTGTTGTTGTATAAAGCAATGTCCGCATCGAGTGGTCTGCATCTGTTTTTGTTTGGTTATTAGGTAGTTCTTCCTTCTCTTTTTAGCATGCTTGTTACAAATCATGATTATGGATATCTTTCTGAGAATTGGAGTTTTCTTGTACTTCACTGAAGGGAGAATGACGTTCCTTTGGGGAATAGGCATCCATATAATAACTTCCGGTGTTGGTTATAATGTACTACGGCAGGAGCCTAGCATATAAGTACACGCGTTGCCAAGATAAGGTTAGCTATGGCTGGGGATCTCAGGCAACAAAGTAAACTACTTTAGTATTCTATCTGATGAAAATAATTTACAGGCATCCAATGTTTTATGTGGTATCATGTTCAATGTTTATATATTTCTTGGCATAGGCATAGTGGCGCATGTCATATCAAAGTAGCGCAGGGTATCTAATTCCAGGCAGCCATGTGGACTGCCGCCAAGGACGGTAAATCGCATCTAGGTATGCACCATGTTCCATCTGATCTGTTTCGGATCAAGTGGGGTGGAAACCCTCCCATAGCTTCTGAACCGTGAGCCTCAACCTGGTGGTGGGTGCCTATCGCAGCATGCCACCATTGTGCCAGAATCGTCGCTCAACTTTGTCCAAGTCGACTGCCTAGCCCAGCCTCATCATACCGGGGAAGATCATCCCTACGTATACGCGCAATGCACGTATGCCTCCGAGGGTTCTGCTCTTGACATCGGCCACGTGCTAGCCAGATGACGACGAAGTAGGCTCGTTAGGCTACAGCATCCTATCAACAGTGCATGTCACATATGTCGATTTGACTTTTCTTCAAGCAGACGCCTCGACCTTGTGAGCACGAAGCTTGTCCATGAGCGCATCGACGGCATCCATGTCTCCGGCGTCGATCTTGTCACGAGAGTAACCCTCGGGGAGACTCTTAGTCACCTCGTCCATGGAGGGCTGGTAGTTGCGGACTGCCGAAGAGATAGCGTAGACGGCCTTCTTGCGAACGACGGGAGTGGTGTCCGTGGTGGCAATGGTGACGAGCTTCGGAAGGGCGTTCAAGACGATAAGCTATTGTGGGGTATGTGTTAGTTTTGTCTAGAATTTCAACAGAAAGGGGACAAATAAGACATCAATAACATACCTTATCCTGCGACTTTTCGTTGTTCTGCACAGCCGTACCAATGCACCACGCCGCCATGCGACGCATTTCCGGTTCGTTGTGGTCAAGCAGCTCGACTAGAGGGGTCCACAGACCCAGAGGCTCCAGGTTGTTTGCGTTATCGATTGACTCAATGAGCTGTTCGAAGTTGTCAAACGCGATCAGCTTGTTCTCCAGGTCGACTTCATCGGAGCGGAGGGCTTCCATGGCGGCTTTCATCAGGTCGGCTTCGGAGGGACCTCCGAATAGCGTCGAGAGCATCTGCGGCGTGAGGCCGCGGGAGGGATCGGCGGGGGCATTGTTGCCAGAGTCGTTGTTGTTGTTGTTGTTGTTTTCACCGGAGGATTGCTGCTCGGTAGCGGCCTTGATACTCCATTTAAGGAGACTGTTCATGTTGGGGTCCATGATGTTGATGTGGGGGATGGTTCGCTGGTGGAGAGTAAAATTTGTGTTGAAGTTGGTGAGGCGTCTAAAATGTGGTTGGGGGTTGTTGAAAAAGGACAATAGGCAGAAAGTAAGATTATGTGGATTGTATCAAATCACTATGAAATGATCTCTATAGCAGGGATATGGTGGTGGATGTGATTGTGCAAAAAGATGCGCCGGTGTTCTATGAAGGCAAAGAAAAAGCGTGATGTTCTGGACGAATCGAGAGGGTTCATGCGGCTCCGACGGCCTTCCACCTCCTTCCACCGCAACGCTGACACTCAAGTCTGCGAGAGAAAGGAACAACAATTGCAGACCTCTTTACTTTTACTTGACAGGGCCATATGCTGTATCTGCATGGATCCTCATACTGATAGCACCTTCTCTGTATAGCTGGCTATCTTGATCAAACCACGACCAGCCAGCGGCGCTGCATTGTACCCCGCCATGCTCGGATAACCCCGCGATGCGGTCATACATGCCCGATATGCAGTGACTTCTGGCTGCTGTTCACCGACCGAGACATTTCTGCGCGTGGCACGAGGATACCGTTGGATGACCATGCATTCTTCACTGGTCTGCACCGCCAATGAAGATCGGCTTACGAAGAATCAACGCGGCCCTTATGCGATTGACATTCCATGGGGCGGGCATCACTTCTGGCTAGGCTTTCTTCTTCGAAGCCCCCCATTTTCGGGGGCCCGGTGGGAAAACGGCGGTAAAGAAATCTGACAGCGCATAGGAATTGACCGGAATCGAAGGGCATCAGTCGATCATTTCTACCTGACGTGGAATTAGAGATACTACAGACATGACGGAGTACCGGAGAGAACAGCGGACACGGAGACGATCAGGCAATTGCATTATTAAACTAAAGAGGATACAAATTCAGGGATAAGAAACGGCCACGCTAGAGGCTAAGGAGACACGAACGAGGGGCAAAAGAGTACGAACCCCTTAAACAAGCCGGACAGACCAAGTGGTTCAGATTTAGTGAACGGGAGGGAAGGATCCAGAAGCCTGAAGTTTGGACCGGTCGGGCTATGGTCATCGCCCATTCTCAGCTCTTAGTTGTTCCCTGGCCCGTCGGCTCCAAGGCGGGCAGTGCTATTATTATCCAGTCGTGGGTAAGCTAACGCTGTAGGCTATCATCATCACTATCATAATCATCATCATCGGGCCATGATTATTATTGTTCCAACCTTGTTCAGTGGTACACATTCGGGCTGAGCCATTGACGGCGGCAACCCTGGGTCGGGTTCAGCCCCACGAGGGTGCGCAATTGTTTTTGCCATCGTGATTATTTCCCCCTCCTTCTGGCTTTCCTCCTGCCTGCTCTTTCTCAGCCCTTCGGAAGGGCCTCCTCAACGGAATGTCCGGGTGAGAGGAACAGTAAGGGAAGACAAGTTGATCATTGTAGGAAGGCCACAATCATTCTGCCTGGAGGCAACCATGGTGGGATGGTTTTGGACATCAGGTTAGGTTGTATATAAATAAGGGTGGAAGAGTACATCCACGGAAATGCGTACTTCCATAACCACCATTGTCTATCTCTTCCCTCATTCTCTAAATTGTCTTGATATACATACATCGGATCCCTCTATCTCTCTCCAGCCAGATAGTACTGCTCAGCGTTAGCAACAAGTACACGTTCTGGTCCCCCTTTAGCGCCCTGGATGTATTAAATTACCCGCTTACCTGACGAGCGGTACTCGGCGTGAAAGTGTGGCGGTGACAGCACTGGGACTAAACGGCACTAGTGCTCCCGGCGGTGCAATCAACGTTGCCGAAACACCCGGACTAGACTCGGAAAAGCCTAGAGTGGGACCCACTTCACCCCGCCTGATCCAGTCCAACCTCTCCCTTTTTCGCAGTCATTCCCCCTCCCCCTTAAGTTGGTGTGTATCTGGCGTAAAAAAGGGACCTTCCAGACTGGTTGGAAGAACGTTGACTGGTGTGTATTGCCTCTCCCCTTTCAGGTTTCCTGTCTTCGTCTTCCTCCATCCGTGACTCCGTATTCGTAGAAGTGGTGCCTACTGGAGACTTCATATTAATTAAAATTGGGCTTTCTTTTTTTTTTTTCGCCCCTAATTGACCGATCATATATAGTTACTATCTAAGATACTTGAGCAGCGAAGTTAGTATGTGCTGACTGACTATCGCTTTCACCCCCCCCTCCCCCTACTTGAGTACGTACCAACCAGTCAATCTGACCAGAACCAAACCAGACCAGACAAAACCAAACCAAACCAGACCAAACCAGACCAAACCCAACCTGAACCAAACCCAACCAGGCCAACCCGCACCCACTCTTGCTTTCCACCACCGCCGACTCCCTACTAACCCGACGGCCTCCATCACTTTCCACTCCTCCCCCCGTTTCCTCCCTCTCCAACCTACTTACCTCAACTCATTCCATCTCTCTTGAACTTACTACTTCCCTCTTCTCTTTCCCGTCACTCCTCCCTTTCATCTCCATCTCCATCCCACTCTTCTCTTTCTTCTCTTCGTCTCTTTTTTATTCCCCGTAGTCCGATTCTTAATCCCACACAGTCACCATGGAAGGTAAGGGCTTCCTGCCACCTTGCGTCTTGCTCGCTTCCCAAGCTTGCTCGCTCCCCCTCCCCCCTCCGTTAACCCCCCTCAACGCCCACCTTTACAACCTAGCTAACATCTTATTTCTTCCACCATCTAGAGGAAGTTGCTGCTCTCGTCATTGACAATGGGTATGTTACTCTGGGTTTTCGATGATTCTGGCGATGGATTCGTCCTGCTTGTTGTGGTTTCTCGCCAAGTCCAGGGGAGATGGTGCAAAACATATGTCCCCTTTTGGGGCTTGGTCGCGAAGATGAACTTGACTGGGATTCTCGCTGGCAGTACTTGCCCACTACCCCCCGGCGCTTATGGCAAGAAACTGGGACAGTTCGATTGACTGGCCCACGAGGCTGTGGTTTGCTCGATTATACTGACTTCTGTGTTCCCAGTTCGGGTATGTGCAAGGCCGGTTTCGCCGGTGACGATGCTCCCCGTGCCGTCTTCCGTAAGTCAACCCTCTCCTTGTCCACTGTGCTGGACGTCCTACCTACTGGTTTGATGGATTCTTCCCGCTCTTTCATGGCAATTGCCACCCATTGCGTCTTCGCGCCGGGCTGCTAGCTCATGTGGGGGCGGTGAATTACCCGCCATGTCAGCACCAGTTCGAATAGTGAACTAACTTACGGTACAGCCTCCATTGTCGGTCGTCCCCGTCACCATGGGTAAAGCTCCCCTTTGTTCTCCCCTAACTGGCCTGCTAGGCTGGGTGATCAGTTTTGTCTAATGCCGCCCACAGTATCATGATTGGTATGGGTCAGAAGGACTCCTACGTCGGTGATGAGGCACAGTCCAAGCGTGGTATCCTTACCCTCAGATACCCCATTGAGCACGGTGTCGTCACGAACTGGGATGACATGGAGAAGATCTGGCACCACACCTTCTACAATGAACTCCGTGTCGCTCCTGAGGAGCACCCCGTCCTCTTGACCGAAGCCCCCATCAACCCCAAGTCCAACCGTGAGAAGATGACCCAGATCGTCTTCGAGACTTTCAACGCCCCCGCCTTCTACGTCTCCATCCAGGCCGTTCTGTCCCTGTACGCCTCCGGTCGTACCACCGGTATCGTTCTGGACTCTGGTGACGGTGTTACTCACGTCGTCCCCATCTACGAGGGTTTCGCCCTTCCCCACGCCATCTCCCGTGTCGACATGGCTGGTCGTGACCTGACGGATTACCTCATGAAGATCCTTGCCGAGCGTGGTTACACTTTCTCCACTACCGCTGAGCGTGAAATTGTCCGTGACATCAAGGAGAAGCTCTGCTACGTCGCTCTCGACTTCGAGCAGGAGATCCAGACCGCTTCCCAGAGCTCCAGCCTCGAGAAGTCCTACGAGCTTCCCGACGGTCAGGTCATCACCATCGGCAACGAGCGTTTCCGTGCTCCTGAGGCTCTGTTCGCTCCTAGCGTCCTGGGTCTGGAGAGCGGTGGTATCCACGAGACCACCTTCAACTCCATCATGAAGTGTGATGTTGATGTCCGTAAGGATCTGTACGGCAACATTGTCATGGTATGTTTTCAGCCTCCTTGATGCGTATGAAGTTGTCCTGATCACTAACACCCTCCCCTTAGTCTGGTGGTACTACCATGTACCCCGGTATCTCCGACCGTATGCAGAAGGAGATCACTGCTCTTGCTCCTTCTTCCATGAAGGTCAAGATCATTGCTCCCCCCGAGCGCAAGTACTCCGTCTGGATCGGTGGTTCCATCCTGGCCTCCCTGTCCACCTTCCAGCAGATGTGGATCTCCAAGCAGGAGTACGACGAGAGCGGTCCTTCGATCGTCCACCGCAAGTGCTTCTAAGGTATGTGCTGGTCTTCCAGGGATTCAGGTCAGATCTTGCTAACGGGGTGTCTATCTAGCTCCTGCGCGTGATCCGTTTCGTACTCTCGTATTCCCCCATGTATTAAAAAGCCCGGAGACACTGGTGACTTGCGGGCCTCTCTGACTCGCACTAGGAGGAAGATCGCCTGAAAAAGGAACTTTTATTTTAGCTGTGGAATAGAGAAGGTTTATTTTTTTTTTTGCAAACGCGTGTCACTACGGCAGCAGGCCACTTTTGTGGCGGCAACGAGTAAGAAAACCGGAGGGGCACGAGAAGCGGTGTAGGCGAGGGAATGTATATGGGAAGCTCTTCTTTTCCTTCCAATGTTCGACCTCGTGTTTGGCTCCTGTTCTCTCCTGTTGGGCCCGTTTCTTTGCCATTCTCGCCTTCGGGCTGGTTATAGCTTAAAAATGCTGCTGCGAATGTCGATCTTCTGTGGATGAGCCGGTCTGCTTTTTATCTTTTGTTTTCCCTTTCTTGATTCCTGCCTGCCCATTGAGCTCGTATGACTATCTATGACCTGGTGTCTTTTCACGGCCTCAACTTGGACTCTCCGTAGGACTTCTCCCAGTAATGCCTACTGTATACAACCCCACAGGCAATAGGGATGGCCTAGATCACCATCCAGTCATCCCCCGGACGCAATGTCAATCTGTCACAGGGTAAGAGAGGCCAGCCACCCAGACCTGAAGAGACCGTTGACCATGATGTCATGCCAGGCCTTCTAGACCGCGGGGAATGAAACTGGAGGTGTCCGATCTGGCGACCGTTTCAGCCCAGGCCCAACTAACTAGTACTGTAGTAGTAGCAACTACTAAACCAGAGGGGTAGTTCGGTCCATAGGCTTAGTGAGAAGCTGGATACAACCCTGCGGGCGAAGGTATCGCAGCAGGCCACGTTCTGTCTATTTATCATGATTATGATTTCTAACCATTATATACGAATATATTGAATACACCACCACTGCTAGAAGTTGCTATATCTGTTGGTAGTTAGTAGTATTCAGTAAATCGCAATGTGGTGTGTGTGTTTGGTATGTTTGGGCTCAAACTGTTAATTGGGAGGCACATCTATGGTATGTATACACAGTGTGAACAAACGGAGTATGTGGAACAGTGGAAAATCTTGTATTCATTCATTCAAAACGTAACTTGATGATATCAAAATAATGCAAAAGTGTAAAGGAAAAATAAAAAAAAATAAAAGGGGAGGGATGTTTGCTCCCTCCTGCTTTTCTATAAAATTCCATCTCCCATCCCAACCCGCCGCCCTCCGTAATTTTATCTAAGTTTGACATCATATCATAACATAACTATCTTTGTCTGAAGTCTCTCGAAATTATCATATTTACGCATCCCAGGTCTCCAGACCAGTCAGGACACAGCCCTCCTCGCCTTCCTGCTTGACCTGCAGCTCACCGATCTGGTAGACCGTCTGGCCCTCCTTCTGGAGGAGTTCCGTGATGGCACCCTCGGTGCCCTTCTCCACAGCCAGGATCATACCCACACCGCAGTTGAAGGCGCGGGACATCTCCATGGCGGTGACGTTACCGTTCTGCTTCAGCCAGCGGAAGACAGGGGGCAGCTCCCAGGTGGAGACGTTGATGTGCGCGGCCAGAGTGGCGGGCAGCATACGGGGCACGTTGTCGAGCAGACCACCACCGGTGATGTGAGCAAGACCCTTGATAGCGGCGGAAGAGGTGGCCAGGGCCTTCAGGAGGGGCTTGACGTAGATGCGGGTAGGGGTGAGCAGGGCCTGGCCCAGGGTCTGGGGACCCGTGGCCGAGGGCATGGTGAAGGGAGCGGGGTCCTGGTACGACAGACCCGAGCGCTCAACAATCTTGCGGACGAGAGAGTAACCGTTCGAGTGGGGGCCGGACGAAGCCAGGGCCAGCAGGACGTCACCAGCCTTCATGGCGGTGGTGTCGGGCAGGATAGTGCGGGCGTTGGGGCCGGTGGTGTTGATGGCACCGACGGCGGCACCGACGGCATCGTAGGACTCATCGATGAAGAGACCGGGCATCTCTGCGGTCTCACCACCGATCAGGGCGCAGCCAGCCTGGACACAGCCCTCAGCGACACCGGAAACGAAGGCAGAGGCGGTGGGGACGTCGAGCTTGCCGCAGGAGTAGCAGTCCAGGAAGAAGAGGGGCTCCGCACCCTGGACGACCAGGTCGTTGACGTTCATGGCGACCAAATCGATACCAACGGTGTTGTGCACACCAGCAGCGTGGGCAATCTTGAGCTTGGTGCCGACACCGTCAATGGCACCGATGAGGGTAGGGGATTCGGGGTGGTAGGCGGAGTTGGCGGCGGCCAAAGAGAAGAGACCACCGAAGCCACCGATGACGGCGTCGGTACCGGGGCGCTTGGTCTGAGCGACGGAGCTCTTGATCTTCTGGACGAGGTCATTGCCTGCATCGATAGAAACACCGGCGGCGGCGTAGGTGAGAGACTCCTGCTGAGCAGCGGCAGCATCGCGCTGGCGGAAGGCCCGGTGGGCGATATCCTTGCGGTAGAACATGTCCTCGAAGTGGATGGTGGCGACGCCCTCGTAACTCTTGCGGACGGCCTCCTCGAGGCTGGATGCGGTGGCCGTGGAAGCAATGACACGGCCGCCAGCGGTCTGGAGCTCGTCACCGACGAGGTTGGTACCAGCGTGGAAGATCAAGGTGCCTTCGGGGGTAGGGTCCAGGGTGATCTTCTTGCCCTTGGCGTAGGAGTTGGGGTAGCCACCGGCCACGGCGATAACAGTGGTGGAGAAGTCGGGCTTGACATTGATAGAGACACCGTCGAGCCAGTGCTCAGTGCAGGCGACCATGATCTCGGCCAAGTCGGTGTCGTCGGTGAGCAGAGGGAGGAGAGTCTGAGTCTCCGGGTCACCACCGCGGACATTGTACTCGAGAACCTTGGGGCCATTCTTGGTCATCATGAGACCGGTGAAAAGGATACCAACGAAGGGGAATCCTATAAAGTGAGGATAGTCAGCGAATGAATGTAAGTTAAACCGGATATAGAGAAAGACGGACCATCTCTGCGCATGCCATCGACGGAGGGCTGAATGATGGAGCGGTCAATCTGAGCGAGAACCTCCGGGGAGGAGATGGGGGTCGGGGCGTAGCAACCCATGCCACCGGTGTTGGGGCCCTGGTCGCCATCGAAGATACGCTTGTGGTCTTGAGCGGCGGGAAGGGAGCGGATAGTGTAACCATCACTGAAGGTCAGGACACTGAGCTCGTCACCCTCGAGGTACTCCTCGATGACAACCTCGCTACCGGCCTCACCGAACTGGTTCTCGACCATCATTTCACGGAGGGCCTGGTGGGCCTCCTCTTTGGTAGTGGGGATGATGACACCCTTTCCACCGGCCAGACCATCGGCCTTGATGACGACCTGGTGAGAGACAGAGTCGAGGTACTGGCGAGCAGGCTCATATTCGTAGAAGTTCTCGTAGGCGGCGGTGGGGATGTTGTGACGCTTCATGAAGTCCTTGGAGAAGGTCTTGGAGCCCTCCATGCGGGCAGCGGCCTTGGAAGGACCGAAGCAGCGGATGCCAACTAGATTCGAAGGATTCACGGTCAATTACACACGGGACTGCGATTGTTCCATGTCAAAGGAGAGACTCACCGGCCTGGAAGTAACCCTGGATACCGTCGACGAGGGGAGCCTCAGGACCGGGGACAACAAGGTTGACGCCGTTCTGCTGGGCGAAAGCAACGAGACCGGGGTAGTCATTGCCCTTGACGTTGACGCTCTGGATCTTGCTGTCGGGACCCTGAGCGGTGCCTCCATTGCCGGGAGCGACGTAGACAATGTCGACGCGGGGAGACTGGGTCAGTTTCCAAGCCAGCGCATGTTCACGGCCGCCATTGCCGACGATGAGAACGCGCAACCGTTCCGTAGTCATAGTGAAAGGTGCAGGGTTCTCTGAGGACCTGATTGACAAGAATAAGGTCAGAGAAGAAGCACAAATGTGCGGTTAGAGGGTGGTGAGAGGAGAGGAGGAGGAGAGAGAGAGGGAAAGGAAGAGAGAGTGTGGAGGAGAAGATGGAGTGGATGGAGGGGCAAGTGAACCCCCCCATTGGGATACTTTGACTCATGGTTTCTTTCGGTCAAATGCCCCAGAACAAGTCCAATTGTGGAGAGTTCCATGCAAAGAGTAAAATGATTCTTTACTTACCTCGAGACCAAACTGCACACAGGGCTAGAAGAGCGAGAATGAGGAGCGAAAGAAGCAATGGGAGCAAACAAGAAAACCAAACTCAACTTTGTCGCTGGGAATTTTTTTTGACTTTTTTTATCGATTGGCGGCACGGCGGGGCCAATCAATTGCACCTCCGACCCCGGATTCGGAGTACAGCAGTAGGCATAGTACAGAGTAAAATGAATAGCTACTTAGTTGAATGTTTTGAACATTAAAATGTGCAAGAAAGAATTAAAGGGAGTAATAGAGGTTGGAGTCTTTTTCTTCTCTCATATCTCACATTCAAGAAGATCTCTCTCAAGTGTCGAATCGCACTATCTCAGCTATACTCCGCGGGTACTTTGGAGATTACTGGCTGGTACTTCCTGGGTACATTTGCCTGTTATCGATACCCGTTTGTATGGACAGACAAATACCACGCCGTATCCAGACCCGTATCTTATTTCCGTATTGACCATACCAATTACAAACAGCGTATTGTAGATGAACTCCCCGGGCGGTGAAACACACCCCGATGGGCAGAAAAGCCGAAGCGCGGCGAAGCTTCGAAGGCAAAAAAATGGTAGCTTTTCGATCAATTCCTCAATTCATTCCTTGTCAGCGTCCCTTCCATCCCTCAGATCCTTCTTTGGCTGCTTCTGCATTCTTCTTCAATTGTCGCTCGTTGATTTGGCCCGAATGTATCGGGCCACCCTGCGGTCTGTCTCAGACCCTTTGCGCGAGCATGTCTGTCTCTCATGCTTAGCTCGCGGCCTCGAAGCCCAGCCCTGGGCTCGCCGCTTCCACACCGCGCCCAGGTTGCGCTCCCAGGCCACCGAGACTTCTTCCACTGTCGCCATTGAAGAGCAGCTGAAGGCACTAGAGAAGGTACGTATGCGACATTGAGATGCTCCCATGAAGAGCCACTAAGCGGAAGCTTGTAAACATGTGAATGCTAACCGCCTGCTGCTGCGGACAGAACCTCCCGGATAGAAGGACACCCGCCCATGTGAAAAAGTCCCTTCGGACGCAAAATCCCAAGTCACCACAGAATGCGGACAAGAAAGCGGTCCGAAAGGCCGCCAAGCAAGAAGCGATGAAAATGCGCAAGATGGACCCTGCAAACCAAGCAGCCGACACCGAGACTCCGAAGGAGGAGAAGAAGCAACCGGAGCCGAAGGACAAGAAGGACCAAAAAGCTCGCGCGCAGCAGAAGACTGCTCCTGACTCCTCGACATCTCCCAAACCGCAGGTATCGGTCAGTCAAATTTACCTTCCCACTTGGTCTAGCCAGAGTCTAACTCCCATGCTAGGCCAACAAACAGTCTACCAAACTACAGCTTCCTGTTCCGATCACCGGAAAGGACACCGGAAAGATCAATGCAGACCGCGACTCCGTGAAAGGTGCGTCTTTCTCAAGCGACTTGTGAAATCTCCTACTAGATCACTAACTAGCGCAAAGCCCTGGATGTCGAGACCCCCGAAGTCCCGCAACTGGCCTATGGCCTGGACAGAGTGCTGTTCAAGTAAGTTGCTTCCTCATACCCAAGAAACAATCGAGAACAAGCGGAGCTGACAGCTGCTGTCACACACAGCCCGGGAGTCTACCATCTTCGGGATCCGCGATCGCGCGTCTACAATTTCGATCCATACCTTGGGTCCATTATGCCTGTCACCGAATTCGACTTCGAAGCGTTAAAGGAATACATCACCTCCTCCAAGGACGAGCAGTTACGGGGCCTGGCGCAGAAGGAGAAGAAGAAGTATATTGGCTCCTCTTCCAGTATGACATCCGTGTTGTCGCACTTCCACTACCTTCTGTCCTACTGGAGAGAGGTCAACATCCAACAAGTGTCCCGGGGCTTTCAGGAAAGGCTGCGGACCTTCACGCGACTCTTGCGAGCTCCCTCGGCCATGTTCCTGCGCTACCAGAACGGCGTCTATGCCATCGATGCCGATAAGGAGCATGACACGGCCAACATTCTCATGAACCTGGGTAAATCGATGGAGAAGCTCTTGACTATGCCAAAGGAGGAATTCGAGCGCTATCGACGATCCAGCTCCAACAAGATCTCCGCCGAAGAGGAGCAGGCAGTGCCCGAAGCCTACCACTACTCGACCTACGGTGATTTCCTGATGCGTTCACAGCTGGATGCCTACGACCCGCGGCTCCCCGGCACCGGCATGTTCGATCTGAAGACCCGGGCGGTGGCCTCCATCCGCATGGACGCCAAGAACTTCGAGCATGGCCTAGGCTACGAGATCCGGAAAGCCCACGGCACATACGAGTCATATGAGCGCGAGTACTACGACATGATCCGGGCCGCGCTCCTCAAGTACTCCCTCCAGGTGCGCATCGGCCGCATGGACGGCATCTTCGTGGCCTTCCACAACATCGAGCGCATCTTCGGTTTCCAGTACCTCAGCTTGCCCGAACTAGACATGGCATTGCACGGCCAATACGACACCACTCTGGGAGACCGGGAATTCCTCCTGAGTCTGCAGCTCTGGAACAAGGTCCTCAACAAGGTCACGGCCCGATTCCCCAAACAATCTCTCCGCTTCCACTTCGAGACCCGTGACTCCACGGCCGGACCCCCGTACATGTACATCTTCGCCGAGCCCGTCACCGACGAGGAAATCCACGCAATCCAAACGAAGAACCAAGCCGAAATCGATGCCTACCAGCGCCGCGTACTCGACCTCCCCGGTCGCGCCGATGAAGACGACGACACAACCACCACCACCAACGACACCGAAGACATCCCCGCGGACTTCGAGTCCTCCAGCCCCGCAGATGACCTGGCCGAAGACACCGCCACGACCAAGTCCGAGACCTCCCAAGACGAAGCCGAGACGACCCCAAGCAAAGAAATCATGGGCTTTGCCCTCACGGTCCGCAACATCGTGGATGGCGAATACGTGGACCGCCCGATCCAGTTCCAATCCCCTAACAAGTGGTCCGTGGACTACGAATTGAACCACCTCGACAGTAACAAGTGCTGGAAACTCTACAACGCGTGCCAGGAACGTCGCCGGAAGGCTCTCTCCGGCCGCGGCGAGGACGAAACTGATGTTGCGGCCAATACGTATATTCGCCGTCTCCGCGAATACGCCAAGAAAGGTCGCAAGTACCGCAAGGAGCAGAACAAGTTGGATGAGCAGGAGAAGCTGGTCGTTTTGCGCGATTAAGCTTTGTCTACTACCTCTTTCCTCTGTCTCCTGCTGTTTTCGGCTAGGCGGGACCGTGGATTGAAGATGATTGATTGATTGATTCATTGATGGATTTGGTCAACTCGCGGCGCGAGAAGGCATTTCATCTATCTAATCAATCAGTCAATCGATCTAATCTGCTGCTCCGCCTCTCTTTTCGATACCTCCTATTCACCTCATCAATACTCTCTATAGATACCTCATGCTCCCTTACACCTTATATGTATGTATACTATAATGATCTCAAATATTCTCCTTTCACACCTCGGCTGCAAGCATTGTTGTTGTAGCCTGCTGGGTGTTGTTTCTTCTGAATTGTCTGTGCTCTCTTCTTCGATTTATTATCGTAGACGTGATAGGTAGATACTATCTGTCTGGCTGTTGGCAGCTATTCGATAGTGGTCCTTAGTGAACAGTGGAATATAGATGTAGCAAAAATTAGGCGTACGATACGAAAAACAGAAAGGACATCAAGTGTAAAAACAACCGAGATATCATCCCATTGTAGTAAGTAGTATACACATGTATTCACAGATGGTTGCTCTCTACACATCATATCAACAATACACCGACTGTGCTGACCCGACCAAAGAAAAGAAACAATCAATTACAGGCCACTCATTCATGGGTCACATGGTCTTTGTCCCCCCTGCGGGTCAATCCTCTCCATGACGGAGAATATTCTCTATGACATTAACAATTAGGGCATCAATGGGCTTCAACGAAAAGAAAAAACAAAGCCGATAGATCTGCAAAGCACCATCAAAACCCAGGGTTCTCGAAAAGGAAACTTAAAGGAACGCCACCTAGCCCTTGCGCCAAACAGCAAGATGCGAAACCAAGTGCTCTTGCTTTTCCTGGGGCAACTGCCCCTTGAGGCTAACACATGATAGAAGGAAAATCGGAGATGAGAGGGACATGAAAGAGGTGGTAAGTGTCCGGTGGACACGCCAGGATTCTGAGTACCAGCTGGCGAGACAGGACACAGAACCGAGAGAGAAAGAGAAGAGGAAAGAGAAGAGGTAAAGGAAACAACGGATGGTCAAGGATAGATGCCCTTTCTAAGAGGCAGGAGAGGAATGAACACCGGCGTCGTCCACTGCGTGGGGAATCGGTGCTTCGCTAAGGAGATGGAGGGAAAGGAAAAGAGGAAGGGGATGGATGTAGACGGTATATGGAGAGCCGAACGGTGACGGCCTAAAGCACGAGGCATATTTTCGACTAGCGAAAATGGGCTTGCGAGCTATCGTGATTTGATTCATTAATCATGTTTGAGCGAAGAACCAACGGCTCCTTAGCGGGGCTTCACTCGAACTTCCCCAGGTCAAGGGGAGGAGGCGCCCACTCCAGCTTAGGAGGTCGGTCTGTTGAAACACACACAGCGCCCGATCTCATCTTCTCCAACTTCTTGCGCTCTTTCGAGGCGCTGCCACTGAGAAAGCCGCGCAGCGTCGATGAGGCTGTTCCGTACGTACTCCGCGCACTAGCCCGAGTACTGGTGGAGACCGTACTGGAACTGCGGGCACTGCGGACGCTGCTGGACTTGCTGACCGTAGATGGTATAGGAGGCACAGGCACTGCCAGGCGGGAAGACGAGGTGCTGGAGCCAGCATACTCTGGTGGTAGGATGTGAGGAGCATAGCCTGGGACTGAGAAAGGAGCCGTCTGCGGGCGTTGCCGGAGCTCAGCGACCAGGCTACTCTCCGCATCAAGTCCCTTGAACATATCCAAATGGTCTTTCGGGCTCGTGGGCTCGATTTCCGGCGGCA